CAGGTTTAGGTTTGCTAGGAGGTAGGTAAATAACTAAAACATAAATTCTTGTATGATCCAGACTAAATGTACAACCAACCAAGTACTAGTATGATTCCTAATCATATTTAAATTTACAGGAGCCCTCTTAAAACTAGTCCTAACTGCTAACATGACGCCCCCACCATGCGAAAAACCAACACTTCGAACGTCTCTGTCACATACATCTGAAAACTGTGTATCTGTTTTCAAACACATAAGTGTTCAGAGTCCCCTCCCGCAACCAACTTTCTGTGATCGAATTAATATCCAGATTCGTACTACACAGTTCATTGTTTTCCTATTGAGAGCCTGCTCATTTTGATAAACACACTGTGCTTCCCTCTCCCGAAGACCAAGAGATCTATTAGACAAGTTTGCTAGTTTAAATTATTGCGAATAGTAACTATTCTCGGCAATCTATTGATATATTTAATCCTCAGGCTTGTCTCACCTTTGCGAATTCCCTCACTTGGTTCCATCACAGTTGTTTCATATTCTTCAAGCTGTTTAGGTGTTCTCTTTGGATTGCCTGATTTTAATTATTTCAATTTCATTCTGTAAGTGAGTATTGATCTTAATTTGTTCAATCATACTTCCTCAGCGGTGAACTGTACTGTGCCTCCATTGCTGTCAACTTATCCATGATCTTCCTCGATGTGATGCTATCCTTCGCGTCATCCTTGCATTGGGCGATATTATCAGTCAGAGACACGTCACTGTTGTCACCATAATAAATCATAAAACTGGGAATAAAGGTAAATTATAATAAATATTGAATCTTGTACGTTTTCTTTGTTGAAAAGCGACAAGTTTCGCCTAAATTGGGACGATTGGTAACAATAATTGGTTCAAGGCAAAACTGTGGTTGATGGCAACAAGTACAGCTACCCTGAAAAACATAATACTTGGGCGCCCCAGTAAGGGTAGCAAGTTACGGTATCCGAGAAACTTATTTAGAAATGTTGGAAATGATTTTCGAGTTTCTAAAATGGCGAACCTAACCAATTTAGTATCTGAAAACCGTTTATTGTAATATTTTCTTATACAAAAAGAAACGCATGTTTCTCTTGAAAGTTGTGCATCACTCTAAAAATGATTCGATACCTTTGACGAATGGCAATTTTTGGTTTCTCTATAGTGCGGAGAAGCTTAGAGTACAGTTTACTCTTACTGCAAATTCACCATTATTTAGTGTTAGTGTAGGTTTGGTGAAACAAATTGAAAGTGATGGGATTCCGTTTGTTTACCTTAACACGAGATGACGTTTTCTTTTCTGTTTAATATTGTGAAAAAAAAAAGGACTTTTTCTTACAAACAAGGATCCAACAACTCAGTGCAAACCGCTTCTCATTACAAACAAAAGAACTTACAACTCAAGAAAAAGTTTAATTTTGGGAAACATTTATAAGTTACTACTTGTTTTTAATTTTTCAAATATTTGGTATTATCACTTGTTTTTTCATTATTGGAGACTAATGATTGATTCAGGCAAGCATCCGTTGACATTAACACCAATTTAAAATGTATAGTAAAAAGTCCTATTCTATTCTATTCTCTCTGCGGTGAATCCATGTCCTTTATGACCAGGGTGCTACATTCAGACCTTTCGCACGTCTTTAGTAAAAAGTTAAACGACTCTTTAATGATTCCACATGCATATACAACTTCACTAAACTATTAATATTAACATTAACATTAAAAAGTTAACCAATCGCTAACCAATCGCGGAGCGAGTGTTTAATAACCGAGTGAGTTAAAAAGTTTATCGAACGTGTTGCATACTATACTTGTTCTATGACCGTAAATTTTTGGGTACATTTTCGCAAAACAACACGACATGACTGTCAGAATTGACAAACGTCAAAATTGAAAGCGTGGGAAATATCTCCGAAAACATCCGATTGCTCCCAAATCCGTGCGGTAAAATGTCGGAAATGTCCAAAGTGGCTCGGATTCATGGGAAACGAAACTGACGTGGTAAAATGACGCTTCCCGCACGCTAGATCGGTAGGTAATTAGGTATTTTACAGACGGGAGTATAAAAACTACTTTTCACATTAATTTCGTAAGTGAAATCTAATGTGTGCATGTACTTAACTAACTCAAACCTTTTGAATTTATAAACCTAAGTCGATAAAGAACAACTGAAAAAGATTTTTTGGATTATTTGCTATTTTCCGTAAAGGAGGTTCAAGCCCCAATTATTTGCCATAAAGAAGAATACATAACTATGCGCTATTAATTTACAATTAATTAACGGAATGTCACAGTGAACCGTTATTTTCTTAATTGTATTGTTAATGTTAAATCAGTGTTAAATTAATATTAATGGGTGTTTGCTTATTGGGACATCTAGTATATTTAAGTAAAATACAAAAGCGTATTAATATAAACTTCTTATATATACTTGATATCATCGAAGGTGTAACAGGCAAAAATCGTTAGAACTACACACTGACCTAATTAAAAATAATAAATAAGTAGGTAAACTTTTGAACAAAAATACAAGACACTACACACGTAGGTGATAAGTGAAACACACAAATTCTGCCAACATGAGGTTTAAGTATAAATAACTAGAAAATTTCAAATTCTAAAAAAAAACCGTAAATAAGACATCAAAAGTGGAAGATTTAATGAATCTCAGACGCGAACATGTCTACTTAATTATACTATTGCCAAAAAAAGAAGCTGCAAATAACCCATTTTCGTTTTTACGATACTTTACTAAATAGAAGCTCGATTAAAAAATAACTCTCCATATATTGAAAGTCTACTAGCACAAGTTTATATGAATTAGTCTATACCTAACACGCCCTTAGTTTCACTTCAAGTAACACCCGGTACACATAACTACATTTCGGAAATTATTTTTTCAATTTTTCTGCGCATTTCGAGTATCTGGCAGTTACATCGAAACTATGTGGTGGACATTAGACAAAATAACGTGGACAAGACGAAATTACAATTAAATATTATGACCTGGCAAAAATATTTAAAACAAGTCCTTCGATATTGACAATTAATGAAAGTCGAATCGGGACTACGGTGCGCCGTAGTCGCGAAAGAATAATCGAATGCCGAATCGAATCGTATTGATTAAGTTTAATGAAATATGACATAATGTATGCACTTAAATATTATTGTATCGAGTTTCACCCGATGACTTGCGAGACACGATCGAGCCGACGCATTGCTTTGTGAGGCGACGGATATAAAATTTAACGAAATATTTTTGTTCGTTGCAGTATTCTGTAATTGTTTTTAGGGCTACTGCCTCAGGTATGCGAGGCATTTAAAAACCTAGGAAATTAGTTTTTATATTAATGATAATTTAATTAATATTGGGCGCCATCAAGTATACAATAAGCCAAAGGACGATTAAAACGCTGCCGATGCGATCAATAGTTTTTACAATTATTGTTTACATTTTATCATAACATTCAAAAACACTCAAAAATATTATATTAAAAATTTCTTAAATTTAATAATAGTTTTTTCAATATCCTGGCACTGGTTAATCTGATGAAAAACTACTTTTCTCTTTAATACGTGAAGAAATTAAGTTCATTAAAACAAGGTTTCGCACTAACTAACCAAAATAGGCTTTGATGCAGCTTCGTGAAAACCATTACAAATGTAAAAGAAATGTTTTCTTCACACTTCTGGATTTCACCTGTATCGGGTATTCGCATAGTCAATTTAATAAAATTAATCTTTTAATTAATTAATTAAAAAATGCATTGTTTTCGTTGTTTTATTATATAATATATCTGTTGGAGATACAGATTATTTTTTCACCCACAAATTACCTATAAGTTATAGCTTTTGCCGTTCCCAAACTTCATATTTATTAAAGTTCGGAATTTTTTTTATTACAATCTCCAAAATTTTTAAAATTTGATCTTTCCCCATTCCATAACAAATCAACAACAAAAGCAACTCGTCAGAGATAATTAATTTTATTACATAGTGTTGATCTATTACTGTTTCTGATTTTCAACTTTTTGTTTTGTTTATTATCCCCTTTTCCTTACTTTTTGACATATTTATTGATGGATACACACACAATACTTAAAATAGAAAAACAATTTTTGAAAACTAGTCAATATCTCGGAATCACACTTGCCATTCCAGCGAATCCACCCACTTTTCTATAATCAATTATACTAAAATTTCAACTAGCACAAGTTATAGTTATAGTTATATGTTTGTTGGCGAGCGCCTTGTACTTGTAAACATTTGGAATATATAAATGATACAAATAAAAGTTAGACATTTCTTACTTAATATGTAATAGATATTCTTTTTTAAATATTTTATGCTGTTAAAATTCCTTGCGTTGTACAGATTCAATAATTCATTTTAGTAAGACATAAATATATATTTTTTTTAAATACTTGAAGGTGTAACTTTTTAAAATCTTTTTGAATACATTATTACTAGTGTGTCTATTGGCGTTGGACAAAATCAAATAACGGAAATTCCGGTATATAATTTTGTTACGTTACAATAGATACCTAATTACTGGTCGAAAAAGTCTTGGTTCTTCAGTGAAGCATTTTTGTGTTGCCGATATTATCGCATATCGGAAAGATCGCTATTTGGTTAGGTACTAGAAAAGACTGTTTCTCCTGGGTTAAGTTAAACTATATGGCTACTGTTATTTTTAATTATTGAATTAAATTCCAAAAGAAATGGTTCTTTAACAGAGTAAGTACCCTGGATATGTTAGCAAAATTTGGTACACATCTTTTAAGCAAATGGTTCGCAATATTTTTTAAAATTTTAAGGAATAATGGTTCCAAATGTTTGTTTTTTTTTTAATTTTTACTAACCAATGTTTGGAGAAAACAAGACACGTGAGTAATTCTTCGAAGAATTCTTTTTTTTTTTAAGACGTAACATTTTTTTTTATTTCGATAAAATAATAATTCACGCAACATATTTTTGCTGATTTCTGGTTTTGTGTGTATAATTCGTTTTTGATTGGATATTATTTTCATGAATTGGATAAAACAAGGGTACAGGAATCGAATTTTCTTCTTTGAACTTAAGGCCCTAGTAACAAAATAAATTAGAGGATGAATATATTTAGACGGACAAAACAAAAAAAACTCAACTCAACTCAACTGTTAACTAGTTGAGGAAAATTTAATGCCCGCTGTAGATAGTTGGGTGCTTTAGACGTCCTTCATTTTTTTTTACATTTAAAAAATTTGGACAGTGGAACTTCTGCAATTTAAGTCTATTTCTGAGCAACACTGCTTTATTTCATTTGCTAGCATTTATTTTGACGATTTATTGTCTTACATTTAAATTCTTTCGGTTTTTATGATATTTTGCTGAATTAAAATTTCCCCAAAATTCTACGGTGACATTAGTAAATTACTGCCACGTAGGTAAAGCTACACAAATGTGGGTCATTTTTTTGTAATTATAGGTCCAATCTGAAACGGGCAACACAATATACCCCGCATACCGGGTATGACCAATAGAAAAGTATGTTTTTTATTTACACAAAGCTTTACAAACTGCATAAGTAAATCTAATACATCGAAAAGGTGGCCAGTTCTTCTATCCCAATGGTTAATTCATTCCGATACTCCGTGGTGGTATACAATATAAAGTGGCATGCAGTGTCCCTCGATGAGAAGCTGACAAAATCAGCTTTCACAATGATCTCAGAGTCAAACGCATCTGTCAAATCACTGTGAAAACCAGTTTCGTCCCACTTTAATCTGAATCCAATAAAGCCATAGCAGATGCACGTCAATGTCAATTCTTCTCCCGAGCTAAAAAATATAAATTACCATTATTAGCATTTTTTACTCACCAAAAAATAAAACAAAAACTTTGATCATGTGGTATGCGTAGGATTTATTATTAATAGATGGTGCAAATATAAAAAAGACGCTGCACGAACCTCGTATCTATTTACATCGAGGTACAAACTGGGACTACCTGAACGGACGTTAATTTTATCAACAATCCCGAAATACCATGGCATCGATAAGATAGGGAACAGAAAAAAGTGCCTAACGGTTTTTTTGTCGAGTTCGTTTTGCTATTTTTACCAGATTTCCGCGAAAAACGCCGGAATTCCGTAAAAAGAACTCACTACACTGGAGATCAAACAAATGTAATCGGGACGACTCTATAACGTGTCTCAAAATTTTTATTTTCAAAAAATATAAAAAAGATTACCAACTTTCGCAAACTCGGTAATTATCGACGTTTTTACCGTTTTTTTTAAAAGCGCCACCGAATGAATCGAGAATCCGATAGTGTAACATGAGTTCGCTTAGAACTACGTCATCGACGATATAAACGTCGAAAACAAGCTCTAAATCCAGTTGAGTTTAAAAATCCCATTCACGGACAATATTATTTTATCTGATCTCGTAACCCTAGATTCAGACAGAATGTAAGATAACAATTTAAAAGGACTCGGTTTATTAATCCACCAAAAGTAGATCGATTTTTAAATTTTTCGAAAACAAAGAAAAAAATGTTATTTTTCATGGTATTTTGAATTATTTTTCCAGTGGGTGGACGACTTTCTAACTATTTGTGGAAAAAACAAAAAAATGTAGTTCAACGCTTCTGAAAAAAAAATCTTACCCGTGAAAAACACCCGACACTATTTTCGAAATCGACCCGAACAAAATCCGAAGAATTGCGAAAACGAAAAAACATCGTTTCGAGAGCTGGGTACAGGCGCCAGCCGCACAATTCTGACACACAAAACGTAATGATGATAAAATTCGCAAGTTTGATAAAACGAACGTGATACAGGAGCAATAACACTTTTGCTGAAACTTAAAGGAGCTGATAAGGAATGCAGGATCACCGCCTATCTTTATTCGTAAAAATCCATTTTACCGAATAGAGGTGATCTCAAAAAAAAATAATTTCGTCACATTATCATAAAATTACCAAAAATAGTATTAATAATTATGTTTCGAATAATAAAACAACATTTACAAAAAAAACTGTAAGAAATGTGCTTATCGGTTCCAATTCGCTAAACGCGCTCTCATTGTCCATGACGTCATTGCTTATTTGACAGCCGCACTGGCAGCCAGACATTTTCATTCGTGTAATATGAGTTATAACCTTTACTAGATATTAATCATTATTTTTCGACTAGAAAATGTTTACTCACATGTGACAACTTTTTCGAAGCAAATAAATAATACTAGGCAAGAGCCTTGACTACGTCCAAAGCTTGACTATTTCATCTGTACTGTCGCGTTTTATTTAATTTTTGTTTTATAACTTCTACCATTCTGTATCTCTATTTGCAAACTATCGAACCTAACCCAATTTTCTTTTGAATTGCATTGAAAATTTATTCTCTTGTATGGTTGGTAGATGTGAAACTACGTAGGTCGTCATTCAAGAAGTAACAATACTCAGGTTGCATTTGTAATCTGCCTCTTACGCTAAATTTCGGGGTACAACAACGTTTGGATTAGTTTTCGAGGTATTTGAATACTTTTTTCAACACAATTTTTAGGCGACACTCGGATTTTTTATATTATATGTATTTTCTAGTGACGCCAGTTCACAATTTTTAATTTACGACCACTTTATATCAATTTTATATCAATATATTTTATATTAGTATACTTAATTTTTATGTGCATCCCAAGACACGTGGGGCATCGCACGCAGCAAAATGGCGTGCTGTAGGAATACTTCACCTGCAACAGAGTAGAAAAAATTAATCACCTTCTTCCATATGAATTGCATAAATGGCTCGTTAGACTGCCCAATTTTTATAAATAAAGATTAAAAAGTTATTTTGATTATCTTTAATCTTTCACCTTTCACGAGGCTGTTCGAAAACGCCGCGTCAATAGTTTAAACCGGCATGTGTCGGTACATTTTTATATTGACGTAAGACAAATATTAATCGATTCAGTTACCGTTGAATTTTTATGCAGTCATTCGTAGAAAAAATATTAATTTATTTAATTAATTTTCATTTAGCTTTATTTTTTTTAAATTTTACTATTATTCAATCTTGGTCCTCAAAATTGCGCAAAGTGCGCACAAATTTGGGTTTTGTTAAAAGAAAGCCGCAATTGTAGAAAAGTAAATAGCCGTTACATTAACTCTTTCTTACAACAAGTATGAAATTTTCATGTGATGCGTACCTTAACCATTTTACCAACTATAAAAAGGTACTGAGATGATTTTTTTCTTATTATGAATGTGATTGCACAGACGAGAACGTTTTATTAATATAACATTTTATAGTGTTGGGAAGAAACATTTGACACATTTGACAGAATACACTTAATCAAAAAAAGTTTTATTTTCTGAAAATTTTTAGAGAATAAATCAAGTTACAAGTGCACGCCAAATTTCAAATGTTCATTTCATATGATTTAAATGAATAGACGCACGCAGCGCGTTGATTGAATATTAGTTTATATTAGTCACTGCTCTCATTTGGTGACCATTTTTCAACGTTTGTCGAAAAATTAAAACAAAATAGTTATAAGAAATACGGTTGCCAAAAATAGTCGATGACGTCATATCTCAAATTTGGGACGTGCTGCGTCGGAGTATATTTCCGAAAAAACTTTGATTTATTGAATTTATTTCGAGATAGAGACTCACACTATATATTGTACTCTACATAATTTTTTATCTCGACCGGTATGCCAGAAATCCTATTACACATTAAAATAATGTATGTCATACAAAATACATATGAAATGATATATTTCGCATGTGGCAAGTTCCAATTTACGGATTACACGAACATTACACGAAATTTTTTTTCCACACATTAATTGTAATAATTAACTGTAAGAAGCACTGTCGCGCGCATCACCGATCACAGAAGCACTGAATACTATGAATGAATCTGACGCGAAAAAAATGAATGAAATTGTTATTATAACGCCAATCATTATCGGACGCACTTATTATTCTTAAGTATAATGACCACTAATTATAAACGGGCAATTACAAAACATATATTGGCCAAACTAAAATCACGATTTCATTTTTGGCCTCGAAAAATATATCACGAATCGCGGCGCTGACTTTCTGAACTTGCGATTGGGTTTCTTCGGGAGTCTTGTTAGAATCGACTATAACAAGCAATTAATATGTAGATAAAAATTTTTTTTGAACGTTGTTAATTATACGAAATGTCGAATCGATAGATTTTTATAGTCGACCGACAATGTGGCAATTGCAAAACATTTAAATTGTAACCAAAAGACAGTAATAACATCAATTATTTTCGAATAACATTTTCCATTCTGGGTGGGTGCTGAGTGAATTTTAGAAATAGTGATTAAAAACGTTAAAATGCTCTTCCTCGAAAACGAAAATTTTGAACATATTCGAATTTTATGTTGAGAGAGACAGAGAGAGAGGGAATCCGATTAAGATGACCGGGGTCATCAATTATTTATCTCACCCGTTTCCTGTTTTATATTTTGAAGAACGCTGTACAATTTTCTTGGAATTTTGAGGTTACTGAACGATGACCCTTTCTATTTGAAACAATCGTTTTCGTCTATACAGGGTGATAGTGAAATTACTATTTTGCTGTCATAATTTTAGGTAGGCTGATAGGCACTTTTGCCGACCCCGAGATTCACTCACTTTCTCAAATTTCCGTAACGCCCTGTATGTTATAATAATGTAAACAATTAAATTATAGGAACTCGACAGTAAATCTGTAATATATGTTCTCAAGGAACGGAAGTGCAAATACTTGACTTTATTAATAATAATAATTAACGAAACAGTCAATATACCGGCGACAACGTGGCGCCACCTACACACAGATACCGCATCGAATGACGTCCCGACCGAGAATTCATTTATGGAGAAATGCACAGAACGCCGGAAATTTCAGCGCTCCACACTAGATGGCCACAAAGTCGTCTGTCGAGTACGACCCGCACCAATTTATGTTTCACGTTACAGACGTTTCGGAAATATCTGCATTTTGTGATGTAATTTCGTAGTAACTTTAACGGAAGCAAATACACTTAGTTTCTTTTTACAACTGTAGGAATTAGTATCATAAAATTAGATCAGCGTAGTTGAAAGCAGACCTCAACATTAGGACTTTGGTAAACATGCTTGTCTGCGCTTCAGAAAATTACACTGAATACAAAAAATTATTGGTAAGAATTGAGTGGCGAACACTCCATACCACAAAAAAAAGAAACCTTCGGGAACAGATTTATAAATGACGCGTTTTATGTAAAAAAATATCGTTCTATGGTGTATTTTAAAATGATTAAAAAATACCATGTGTAAGTCTATAATTTACACCTAGGCCAAGTAAAAGTGCGAACTTGTTTTAATATCACAGCTGTCAAATTTTACAACATTTGTGGGCTTCCCAGTGTATTAAATATTACGTGTATCAAATACAGAAATAACACTAATTATTAATATTGTTGGAAATAATTTTTTGCAGTAGCGGTGGGTGTTGCATATAAATATGAAATATATTTCGATTTTTGAAACAGGACATGGCGAATTTCATGCCTGAAGTAGACGGAAATGCTTTTTGGATGAGTGCTATTTGGTTTGGCATTTTCAAAAACTTCTTAGCTTCTAATTAGTGTAAACGCGGACCTACTTATTTTTTTAAAACTTCGCGCATAATATACGATTTCGACGATAAGCATAGCCGGTCTGCCAAAGAAACTAATATTTTGTTTGACAGATTTAAGGTAAGTTTCGTTTTTGTTTTATTGGTATAATATATAAGAACTATACAGGATGTCTTCGAAACTAAGCATTTGCGGACCTGCCCGTGCATGAACTTTTTTGTTTTTTTATGAGGAATTGAAACACCTTGTATATAACTGTTTTGGACAATTATATTCATCTACTTAAAATTTATTGCCACAATTTCCAATTTTAGATGTTGTTACTTTTTCGCACTAATGCTAACCAATACAGACACTAACCAAAACTAAGTAACAAACCACTTTGCGGGGTAAGGGGAAAAAAACAAAAATTATAAATTTCCAACTTTTAGGGATGTTCAGGCCAATTTGGCAACCAAGTATCGTGTCAATGCGAGGCGGTCCATAATATTGCTGGCCTCGTTGTTGTTGTTGGTATTGTTGTTGTGTAAGCGGATTGTTGATGCGGTTGTTTACATTTTACGCATTCCAATGCGCGGATGGCGAATGGACTTTCTCACGGCACGGTGTGTCTCCCCCCCACACCCTCCGCCAAAGTCCACCACGGTTTACACCAAGCGTTCTCCGAAAAACCGTTTCGGCGTCGTATTATGGGCAGTAAAACGGAAAAACTGCATTTAAAGAATAATTTTATTGCTTTTTGTTTACGGGCGGCGCTGGGCAGCGCTCAGTGTTGTAAATATTATCAGCCGTGCGCGCCTTTAAAGGGAAATTGTGTGATGAATGCTCAAGTATATTGTAAGGTACGCGCATTTTGTTACAACTTTTAACGTCAGGTATAGGGTCGCAGATAATTGAATGCGTATACGCGGAACAATGAATATGCGACGTGTTTTTAGTATTGAACACAAAGGACCCAATTGTTTTTGACGGCCAACGGAAAGGTGGTGGTATTATTTCTCTTCCCGTTCGTGTTTTCGTTCTGATACGAACTTCGATGCCGTGACGATAACTTCGGATAAAATAAATGAAAAAAATATTTTGAAAATCTTGGGCTTATTTATTTTAAATCTTTAGTGTAAGCTTACAAAAGGCGAAGTCTAGCCTTACGACTACTCACACTTAACCATATATGATATCTTAGGATAAACAGATATTACAAATAAAAAATTAAAACTGCAATTTTAACAACAACCCAGATTTTTATTAATTTAACACTTATTAAATAAAAGGAGAAGCCTACTAGCGCACTACGGATAACCGAGCAGCGAGCAAAGAGCGTTTAAGATCCCCACGAAAGCTGTTAAGGGTTTGATGTTTAAATAACGGCGAAACAAGGTTAATCGATAACGAGGAATGAAAAATTTTTTAAGTTCCGTACAGCGCGGTGATTCCTATGACCTGTTATCCACAAGCGATGTATTAGTTGAAGCGTTAAAGTAAAAAGTAATTTATGGACACACAGCACCAGATGATAGTGATAAATGTTTTGAATTCGAAGCCAAGCAATGCTTATTTTGGGGTCATATTTTCCAAGTCTGAAAATAAACCTACAACAAGCATTTTCAACATTTTGTAACCGATTCTTACAACCACATCAAGGCTCGCTTTGGTATTTGAGCATAACTTTTAGAACAATTTTTAGTAATAGCATTTTGATGAATTTTTTGAAATAAGAGTTCTTATTTGCAAACATTTAAAGTGCACATAAAATAGTCGTCTAACTTTCGACACTAATTGTATTTTGGTAAAGCTTGTAATAAAAAAATCACCGTATTTTGCACACTCAAGTGATCGCACTCTATAGTAGTAACTAAATTAAAGTGTTATTCTAAAGAGTGGCGAGTAATAAAATGGCGGGTGCCGTTCAGTACGACCAAACTTGCGAGTCGTAGGTACGCGTACGTAGAACCATATAACATAAAACAACATGTAAGGTAGGTAACGAATGTGGATTAATACTCCTAATGGCGTATTAAAAATAATGCCGGCCCTCATTCACACCCACTAAAAAACACCAGAAGAACATTTAATTAAAATGAAAGATGGAAAGTTGCTGATCGACCAATCTATTATGGAAGTGACTCCAGAGAAATGCGAAAATACGAAATGCTTGCTAAGGTGGCTGATTGAACTACGCAGGTGAGGAAAATTAAGCCCTCATTAATTCGTAATAAATTGTATATCATTGTATCGTCGGGATCTTTCGTTCCAACTAGAATGTTTTTTAAGTTGAAAAACTAACCTTCTACGGGATGATTCACAATTTTTTTTATTAGCCGAGTAGCGCCATTCCCTAAAATTTAGATGATCCGGAGGTCGAGACACTAAAAGTTTGATTAACCAAATATTAAGAGGTGTCATGTAAAGTCCATGCCAATCACTCTGTAAATTTCTTTATTTATTAAAAAGCCCTATATTCTAAAGCACCTTCATTCTTCAACAGGAATCGCTTTTAAAAGGGATCAGTTTTATTTATAACTTACTTTTTACCCAAACTTACTGCGAAATATTTAATTATCCGCCCTTGTTTCCAATCAACGCTGCGTACCGCATTGCGCCCGGACTTTAACCAAATACTACGTCGTCACGTTATTAAAAAAAAGCGGTCAAATTAACAATTAACTAATACCGGTCGACATCGTATTACGAACTGTTTAACTAACCGACGAACAATAAATAATCGTTTCGCAATGTCACCAACCGGCGCCGGGCCGAGTATGACCCGGGTTTCCGGGAAAGCGTAGGCGACGTGGCAACGTTGCGCGTGAGCGCATTCCCGCACTTGACCTTAACGTGTGTTTTTCGCGACGAATAGGAAGAAAAAAGGAAAACGCATCCGCAGCGCAACGGTGACGTAACGAGCGCAAATGCGCCATTGTTCTATTTAAGGAAAAATATTTCGCGATCGCGCCGCAACCGGCCACCGCGAATTTGGCGAATAAAAAAATGGCACGGTGTTGCCGGATCAGCTCCTTAAGGTCGCTAATGAAACCGGTCAGTTGGGAATACCAGAAATGTTTTCCCTATTATCGTTTGATTATTGTTAGCGCATTCAAATTTTACCATAGATTTTCTTCTTTCTATTCACTTTTCGATTTAATATATTTAAGAACATTATTTTATATTTTAGTTTAGAATTTTTATTTTAATAAACTTCAACATTTTTCTCTTAATTTGCATATTACGATTTTTTGCCTTTTTTTACACTTTGTAAAATATAGTTTTAAATAGGTTTGGTTGCAAATATAATGCAAAAAACCCCAGGAAGATTATAGACAGGATTTACACCTTCAGTAAAAAGCAGAGACCGGTTTAATGTCAATAAGTTCAAACTGAGTGTCCGATTTGGACCTCAACAACTTTACTAATTCGCGCCATTTCAATTTTCCTTTCTCGCTATTAAAATCACTTAATGCGTTGTTTACTAAAAAAGCTTGCAATACCTTAGAATAAATTGGAAACAACTTAACAACGTAAATGTCCAACTTATAACTGGTTGTAAGAAAACAAATCTTCTCGCAGTACGATTTTATAATGATGGAAATGAGAGTTTTCGTAAAACTAACCTAAGTCATTGATACTTTGAACTCCACTATTAATAATTCATAGGGTTTCTAAAATAAGTCGCGTATTATAGTTTCTCCGGAGAAGTTTCGATCACCCGTAGTTTGCTTGCTTCCATTGTCTAACGCACCAAGACACCTGATAACCGTTAGTGATACAATTACCCGAAACGTGCGAATTAAAATGAAATAAAGGCAATGAATGTTCGACGATCTCTTAATACTTCTATCGAATTATCAAATTCCAGTATTATACGTATGCAGGGTGTACAAATGTGAATGGACAAATCCCTTGCTAATTTCATTTCATTTATTTTTTTTTCTCGATAATAGGAGTTTGGGTTAGTTTATAATTGCCTTTTTTAATTGAATTTCGAACTATTTGGCATATCAAAGCCACATTCCAAATTTAGAGCTAATATCCTACAAATTGCGAGGGTTATAAAGTAAAAACCAACAAATCTCGAAACATCCTGTACTTCGATCGCTATCGAAAATTTTGCGTCATGTCATAGGTCAAGGAATTTCTCCGTTATTTAGGGACACCATGTAGGTACTTATAACTATATCTATTATCACAACGATTAATAATGTATCAGAATGCAATACAAATGAATCACCAAAAAAGTTCTTGGAATTGGCTATCGAGATGAGTGAATCATTGCAAATATGTTGCGAAAGGCTGGGCAATCTGACCTATTTTTTAATTTCCCGGAGCACCGACGGCAACATTGCTCAGTATCGACGCGTCACGGTGATGCAGAAAGTTACAATTTTAGCGAAACCGACGCGGGCGATATACATATACGGCCAATTAAAAATACCCACGTATTTACCAAGGTACATGATCGACGTAAACAGTTTGATATGGAGTGCAATTATTATCGCAGTTACTATGCTGAAATTTGTTGCGCTCAAGTAGTAGTCAAAGACACACCACCACCGTCAATTGGTCATTACAATAAAGTATTTTGATAAAATGGAAAAAAAAGATAAACATTTTAAGGAACTATAGGCTTCCGGCTATTGGGAACTAAGACGATCTTAAATCATATTCTTTTTAAGAAGCACACATTATTTGGATCACAGACGTCCAATTAAAATTACAGTTGTGATGCAAAGCCAATCAATCATTGTATACTGATCACGTTAAAATAGAAACAGTGCCGTCTCCGTTGATCATATGACTTTGATTTGGATCCTATAATCCGGATCAAACATCGCAAGGAGTATTCAACCAATTGTACCCTCGCATGACATGATTTTTCTTTTCTGCATTTTCGTTTTGATGTACTTACTGCTTTGAGGCGAATTATAATTTTTTCTAACGATTGTAAAAAAAAGGGCTTTTATTTAAGGGATAACGAATGGAGATAGATTTATTTAGTGGCAGATGTTGGGGAAAATCTAGTTTAATAAATAGGGTTATGCGCCGACAGACTGTATTGTTCTTTAACTGCGTGAAGTAATGACTGAAAAGTAACATTTAAACCTGCACCATAAGCTATTACGCTTATAAAAATGGCAACGTCCAGGACTTGTTCGTTTTGTTCGTATTTGATTATACAGTGACATAGAAACCGTCGTTAGGTTATTTATTTATGTATTTACATCGACCGGAAATTTTGGGCAATAATATATCTAGAAAAAAAATACGCAGTAACGCATGACCGTTGCCGGTTTTAAAGTTGTTAGGGAAATATGCGCGAACGCAATGCGTTCGTTACATAAAGAGCAATCCGGACACTAATTACCCGTACGTAACACATTTTACATTCTGTATGGGATATTGGACATTAAAGTAATTGGGAAAAATGCTTGTGGAATTCTATCCGTTTATTAACATCGTTACATTCATTAAATTGCTTGAAATACCTCGAAATAATTTCCGTGCCTTGACCAGCAAACAGTTGTTGGAAACACAGAACGCCTTCAATTGCGCGGATTAGGCCGTTACAGATTTTTTTTTTATTAATATTACAATGTTATCGGACCCAACTTTGTTATTAAGTAATGGGAATGTAGATTAGTAGTCTTTATGATTGCATATTGCAGTTGTAAAAATAAAATAAAATTTATATTTTTGAAAAAATCCAAGCATATTGGTTGGAACATTTTTGCTGCTTTGACAGTTATGCAAACTTTCATTAAAGATATGTGAGATACCGGCCAAAATGTTCGAAAATTTGACACCTTGTAGACTAACATTATATCTAAAATAAAATTTAAATCTTTTAAATCCACAAATTTGGTTGGTTAAAAATAATTCTACCACCTCCAGTTTCAGCGAAACGTCTTGTCAATACGCCACTTTAGAGGACCAAAGTGCAGTCCACGTGAAATTAAATTTTAAATCAATATTGAAAATGGAAAAAATAGTATCGAAAAGAATTCGTTAAACGCTCTAATCAAGGCAAAATAGGAACAAGTTTTGAGGTTAGGAATCCGTTCGAGCGCTTTTAACACACAAGGCCAGAAGTTTGGTGCGTCCAAAAATGCAATTTAATATAAAAAAAACACATTTAGATGTTTAAATACAAAATAACATTTGACACTATTTTCCATTTCTTTTTGATAACAGAAAAATGTAAGAATATTTAATGAAAATTTATCACGAAAATTGCCATCACTTGGAGAAATATTAACCAGAATAATTTGCTTTTGAATATTTGGTATGCTTAAAATATTACCTGTCATTACAGAAACAAATGCACAATATTTGAAATTTTCGAAAAACTCTTATTACTGAGTTATTATCAGTTTTAAAAAAATACATCATTTTCAATTTATAAGTCAAATTCGTTTATTTTCATGTTTTTTTCATTATTATTTATTACCTTTTTCATTTGCAACAAATATAAATCTTGAATCTACCACATTTAACACTAAAATATTGAAATAGCAAAACGGTGGCCTAAATACGATGCAAGGTTTGTTGAGCTGCCCAAAACACTGTAAAATTTACTCTTTCAGTTTTGTTTACTAAAATAAAACGAATTATTCTTTCTCAGGACGATAAAAAAGTCATGCGTATATTAACTTCTTAATATTGGCGGTACACTTACATATCGAGTCGCGTTGGAAATCTTCTTCCGCAAAAGTGGATCCACACACGTCGCCCACCAAAGTAACAACGCCGTTAAATTGAAAACGTGCGGAAAATCGTCGCCGTTATAAACCAACACCGGCCGGCCTAATCGTTCGAATGGCAGCCCATTCACTGAAATACCGATGACGTCACGAAACCTAATCAAAATATGCATTTATTACGCCATTGTCGATAGTCAAAGTCGATTCACTTAAATACGCAAATAAATAGCGCGGTGGCTCAAACGTATTGCGTTCCTTTTTCGGAGTAAGTATTTGTTGTTTGTTCGTCGCAGGAAACGGTGAAAGCTTTAATAAAGCCCGATAACAGAATTAGAAGAAATGTAAAAATAGAATCTCCCGGTACCGCCAGAAGGACGCTAATATAAGGTTTTAATACGCCCACTCATTGTTACGGCCTTAATTGAATGTCGACTGGGAAAGCTTTTTCGAAACAATGCGAAATATACGGTTATTTTTGTATGGTTGCGTTCTCGTCCGTTCCAAGTTTTAAAACCGATAATTCGTGTGTTTGTTGGAACACAACTTAAATAAAACAGATGTTAAATATTTCGCGCATCCACCATTTTGTCATGATTATACGTGATTGTCATCAATGTAGTGTTTTACCAATAAAAAATTATTTCTAATTTAGACGGGTTCGATGTTTGAGAATGTTCAAATTTTTCAGATAAAAGCATTTCTTTCAGTCAAATATGGTGGTTTACTCAGCTTTTTTCTTTTTTCACAAATGAATATAACTTTATTATTTTATACGGCTTATGATCATTAAAAAGAAAGTCCGCGTTGAGCCCTTTTCAATCATGGCTTTTTTTTGTTTATGGGTAAAGAGATCGTTCGGGATTAAATAAGGGACTAGCTCGTTTATGACGGCCGAGAACACTTACGGCAATTATCACAATCTTCAAAATGGAAACTAAAAATTGAAATACAGTTTCTCGCAAGACGACAGAAAACGTAAATTTAAATTTTGGGGCTGTCCAGAAAATACTACCTTTATGCTTTATTGCATGTTATGAACGCACGGCCCATACTTTTACATAAAGACAATGTTTTTTATCTCCGCCATTTTTCATGATGCCAAGAAGATGAATGAAAAGGGCTCACCAAAGAACAGCCAACTAGGATCGACAAACGAAATATTAGTTACAAATTAATTTTAAATTTTTGTAAATAAACAAGTTAAAGGCAATTTCCAAAATTGCCGAAAATTCAAAAACCCTTGGCTGTTAGGTAATGTAAATCGATTTTTCTCTATGTAAAATGAACCGCAGATGTAATATGATATCTAGGAAGTTGCCTAATTTTGACTAGCTGTAACTTCCGACATTTCTTTGCTGATGTTGATGCTGAAGAAATTTCGAAATTATCGTTAGTCAACAGTAGGCAAACTTCATGGGTGTCCCACTTCATCTGTCATTTAATTTAGTTAAAAAATAGGTCTTTCGTGGTAAAGCACTTCAATTACGACCACACGGTACACAGAAAGCGTCAGACTTTGATAGGAGTAGTAATTCTGAGGTAGGCGTACTATGTTGATAACGTAAAATTTTATTGCTCCATAATTCAAACCTCCAGTGTAACAAACAATTATAATCAAAAAGAGGCACGTAGGAATGACACAGTGTTGCCATATATAAGTAAAGGTGCAATGTTAAAAGGAAGGATTTTTTTAAAGCATAAACTAACTATAAAACTCTCGGTCTGACATTTCACAAAAACAATTCTTGATAAAAAAATCTCTGCGCGACTTTTAAAATCTATAATCAAAAATTTACTGAGATATAAAGAGAATTATTTCTTTAAAATCTCGAAGTAATTCTGTGAGTCTTTAAACGCGTGTGAATACCACAAAACCTTTAATAGATTATTTTCCGCGATGAAACAAAATTCCTATGCCCTTAATCATGAGCTTCACTATCGGTACGGCTAATAAAAAAAATGGGAAGGATTAATGCAAATCACAATTAATAAGGCGACGTGTTCGGTCAGTGAGTAATACTCTAAAAATAATTAATATAATATTGCGATCATCGGGTTCAAATTATATGGCTCGGTAATCCCGTAAACGTATATGAATACATTTTTTTTTAAATAAAATTTTCACGATTTCGGTCGCAAAATCTTCGCCACGTTCAAATCAAATTTAAAGTCCACAAAATTACGATGACATCAATTTTAGGTCGGTGAGCAAAATATATAACATGTGTCATCTTTAAACAATTTGTTAAGGGGCGTTGAATGGGAGGTATAATAGTTGTTTAATTTTATAAGTGATGTAACGTGACACTACCCATACGACAGTCACTCTCAATGATCCGGCTATACAGGGCGTCCTAATGGTACGCGGTACAACTACAGATTCCTTGGGTGGAAATATGAACATTTGGCTAAATTGGCTAAGTAAAGCAAAGATTTATTTTCAAAAAATTATATAACATAAGGAAAGAAGCCACGTTTGTTGGAATAACTGTAAAATGGACAATTTAACATAAAAACAATGTTGTTTTTCCCAATAAGCATGTATTAACAATAAACATAAATTTAAAAAATAATAATATATATATACATGGGTAATATGAAATGCAATAAATTTATTTTTCAATAATAAGTAAAATAATTGTGGAAATTGACTTACCAACAAGGAAATCAATAAATTACACTCTATTAATAGAAATTTTTGAAAATCATTCTTCTTCTTACAGCTCAGTTACTTATTTTTTTTTAATTTAACTTTCAATTTAATGTACCAGCTTGTCGGACATATTCCCAAATATAGAAATAGAACATTTTTACTTTTGCAATTAGATTAGTAAAATATGGTTCTGATGATTCAAACAAATGCCATAAATGCGTTATGAAACTAATCAAAATTTCAGGAAAACGAAGTTACGTAAATATAAAAAAAAGATACACGCTGTAATTCGGGGAATCGAATGTGTTAAGTGCACCCTTAATTATGGAACGCGCTGTATAAAAGTTGTTGATAAGGGAATTATACTTACGTTCATTGAATGCTTATTTCTCCTAATGACGTATTCAAGGCGGGTTACAGGATCTGCAACAAGAAGACACTAAGTAACGAATTTATATGAGCGCCAATGTTATATATAATTAGTTTTAATTTGCTAATATTGTGCTACAGATTTACTTTTCTTAACTGGAAAAAAATTGGTTGAAGTAGTTGGGATTTCGACCACCAATTTTAACAGGTTTATACAATTTTTTGGTAATCAATTTGCTCACAAACCAAACAATTTGTTTCGTTGTTCTTTCAATATTGTGAAAAAGAAATTGATAAGACGATAGTTTTTTCAATAACTTCTATGAAAAACCAAATAAATTGAATCTCATCACGAATACAGGATGTATAATATAAAATGATTTTACAAAAAAAAAAAGGATAAAAAACCTATACTTAGCCTGCTTAGGATTGTAGGATTGTTTTACCAAATACTTTTTTTTTGGACAATTTTGGCAATCGATGCTGGTTTTTCTTACAAGGCGCAAGTTATATGGTTTTGCACAAATAGAAAAAGTAACTGCTCGTTTAGAGCTATTTTTCCAAACTAATTAACCCTAACCAAACCATCATAGTTTAAGGTTTAGTAAACACGCCAAGGCGAGGTCTCTAAAAATCGTCAAATTTTAGATCCATTTGGCAACATGGCGGGCTCTACCGCACTTTTGCCCAGGCTCTTTGCCGCTGACTCGTTTAGATGAATGAACTTTCTACATACCGATGCTGCACAGGACCGAACCGAAAGAATTCAATCCAATTTTAACTTAACGCAGAAATCGAATAAAAGCGGTCGCCGAAGGCAACTGAAATACAATTTACAAAAGAATCCACAAAAATATTTATACTGTGGTATAGAATATTACAACCCGACTGGGGGTTAACCGGTGAATCGCGACAGTTTATACCAAAACGCACCGGATTCTGTTTTTGGCGATAAACCGACGAATTCTTCGAATGCTTCCCATACAATTTTACACAAATATTTACCCCAGGGCAGAAATCAAATAGAGACTGCACCAAACCGGAAATTGAGCAAGAACGCCTCTCATAGGCGGGGTCTTGGTGGGTTTAATTTAATTGTTTCTCCCCATCATGGAATAAGACGAATTATTTCGTGATAACAGTAAATTTGAGAGAGAGTGACTTTTAATATTATGAGTTTGCCATTCTTTACTCGAATTTTTTCCGTTTTTGAAATACGTACAAATTTCAACTATCTAATGCTGTTTTTCTACCAGGTGGCACCATCAAGTTAGTTTCAATTGCTTTCCTTATCTTTATAAAAAAACGTATGTAAATTGCAAAATCGGGTTTAGAGCTGGAATAATTTGTAAATTTGTTAGAAAAATATACAGAAGTGAAATAGCGAACTTTACATAATTCTGACATCTTGATTGATGGTTTGAAATTTATTTACTCTCTCATGATGTCATGTTTTTTTTAATTAGTAGTAATAAATTAGTAAATAATAAGAAAATAATTCACTCAAAAATACGCGCATTAATTTAAGTTCCAGAAATTTGCCAAATAGCCCATAGGACTACACAACGTGAGCCAAAAAGGAACACCAGTCGATTTTCTTCTAAATAAATTACTATAACGCGGCAACTTTAAATCCATGGTTTTAAGTACTTCCTGCCGGTTTAGATTAATAATAGAACATAATACGTTTTGGTTATAAATTATAAACGGGCTTATTATTAGCAGCACTGTTAAATTTTAATTGGCTCTTAATTTTACTACGGGTGGCGTTCGTTTTTTTTTTCCTAGGGGAGACTATTATAATTACAGCGAAACAGTTATCTTTCGATGCAGCGCGGTGGCATTACGAGTTAAACACTAAACCGAAAAATTTTCATAATTACAGGCACGAGAATTTTTAATAGCACGAATACCTCTACTACTTTCAGTATCCAGTCATCCGCACCAAATTTGGAATAAATGTACTAATAAGAAGAGCTCTAAAAAAATCTAGAGCCAATTAAATTACGATCGAAAAATAATTTTGTTTTATCCAGTGGCGTTGTCAGTCAATTTTTAAACCTAGCCGTGGTAACTAGTGGAAATCAGTTCATTAGTAGACTTATTTATAGTGGTGATGGTCTTCAAATAACTATTTTTTTATCTACGTGATCATTTTTTTTTAACTGACTAGTCAAAAAATGTTTTACAAAGCATCGTGCAATTTTAGGATGCTATCTATCAATATTTAATAATATGTATTTCATATTAATCTATTATGCGTTTGTGATGTCCAATTTAACTATAACCCTCGGAGAATCTCAACAGTAATATCGACTCCCTGAAAAACGCGACGGCGATAAATAAATATAAATAAATAAATATTAATTTAATGGTATTTTTAAAATTATTTCGGTCAGTTGGCACAAAAAAAATTGACCGGCCACAACCCTAATCTACCATACAAGGTTATAAGGCTATAAGGTTAAATTAGATTGGGAAGGTAGGTTAAGATATGAAGCTAAGTTTTGATTTAGCATTTTATCATATTAAAATGAAATAAAGTCCTTACTATTATTACTATTATTAGTAGGTAATTTCAAGAATTTTGGCTTAAAACAGGTCGCAACTTAGGTTTTGTTGAAATAGAAAAATATGTTGTACCAAAACACCAAAACTAATCCAAACTATACAAAACTTATCTAAAGATGAAAAATAAATGGTATGCTACTTAAATTATTAATCTACCGAGATGACAAGGGCAAACTATATGTATAGAAAAAAGAGGAAAAGATGAAACTAGCATAAAATGATCGTATACCTAAAGCACACTACTAGCTTACTCTTTGGGCAAATATTTTTAGGTTAGAGAACTTGCATGCCAAGCGTGTAGCAAATTTATAGTTATCGTACTTGTCATAGAAAGGACCAAACAAATTATAGTTTGTTATTTACTTAGTTTGATATGTGTTGCAAATTTATACTTTTGTGTTTTCTTATGGAACTATAAACATTCTAATTTTTGGTATACTCTCTTTATATTATATATACAACTCTTAATATATACAATTTTCAATGTAGTAGTTCGAGCGCGCGAACTATAGCGTATTGCAAAATAGATTCAACCAATGCTTTATAGATCAACAATTTTTTGTTCATAAATTTCATAAATTTATAGACAAGTCTTCTTGCTAAACAACCTGACTATAAGTTGAGAAATTGATAATGAAATTAGAATCTTATAGAAGTGGTAATTCAATATAAACTGAAACTGAAAATTACAATATGTATACTCGATGTCGGTTAAACTGGACTCTTCACAAAACCCCTTCCAATTAATTGGAAAATGCAATAAATTTTAATGCAGTTCAACTAAAAGGCGGTAGAATATTAGAAAAAAAGTTTGATTTTTGTCGGAAAGAAAGATAAAACAGAATGGCTTTCGAATAAATTTACCAATTTTATCGAATACGCGCGGTCGATCGTGGAACAAAAGACCTTCCGTTCTATGCCGCGATCGTTAAACCACATTTTGGGTCGTGGAAGAAGGCCAAAAAAAGCGTGATTGATTTTCTTTCGTTCGGCGATGAGGCGGTTTTTTCGTAACCGCCCGTATACTATTTAACCTAGATAATTAAAATTCCTGAATTGGTTGTTTGAACTTTTCCAAACAAAAATAGATAATTACATAACAACAATGCGGCACATCCGGCTCGGCGGAAAAAGTTTTTATCGATTTCATGAATGAATTTAGGTTTACGACCGGTCTTAACCTAAGCGCGGGGCGCGGGGAACGTGACGAACTTCGATTCACTTTGTGGGGCAGACGTGCAGCGTTGCCGATACGCTCAGATCGTCCAAAGTTTCAGGACTTCGCGCGGTACGGAGCCATTGACTTCTTTTATACAGGGTGGTCCGAATTATAATGGAGAAAGTTTGATAGCGTATTCGGCAGGTAAAAATAAGTAAAAAAGTTCCCGAATTAAACAAAAACAAGTTTACCTACGCTCTAAATTTGTTGGCAATAATACCTACCACGTTTGAAAGAAAAACTAGAAGAGATAAAACATAGAAATGAACGAATATTTATGAACTTTTTTATATATTTTTTATCTGCTGATTTCCCTGTTAAAGTTGCTCCAGTCTAATTCTGACCTCTCTCTATGGAACTAATAGATTTATGGACAAACATATAAACTTAAATTAGGAACGCCTTTCTTTTGGTATATAAAACCTATGCTTCGGTAATTCCTACATTTTAATTTTGTCTATAAAGCCGCACCACCATACCTAACCTAAAATTAAAGTGAAAAATATGAAACTTTCCGTGGAAACGTTCTAGAAATAAGAAATATTTTGCTACATGTGATCACCGAAATACGGTTGAAAGATTCGTATAGCAACTTGGAAATGAAAACTTCAAATTCTGGCATACCAAATGAGATTAAACCATCTGTCAGATCTGTTAGAACTGGGCGATAATGGTCGACATTACGTAGTTAATTTTTTTTCAAATAATACCTCTTAGATATGCGCGTAATAAAACATTAAAAAACATATCATTTATTTGAAAGTACTTTATTTTGTATCCAGCTTAGCATCTATCCCAAATCCTCAAGAGAGGAAGGTAAACTTATTGGGAATATTTTAAAATCCAATAAAACATAACTTAGATTGTGATTCAGGCAAAACCGTTTCTCTCTCATAGAACCGGTAACATTCATAATCGAAAATTTGATTTCGTAACAGTTACTCGTACGTAACAGAAACTAGTCTGACTTACAAGCATAAGCAAAAAAAATTACATGTATATTTCAATAATAATTTTGATTTCTTCTCTCTACTCTAAAACACCCAATTATTTAAGACGTTTCTGTTGAGTACTTATATCTAAAAACTAATGGTCGCAGACAAAGTATAAATATTGAGCTTGTTGCATAATATACTTTTTTTTAATCTTTAGTGTGTTTTATGAACCACCCCGTATAGCATCGGCGGCACCGCTACAATGGGAATAATCGACCGGAGGCCATCATCATCGGTCGTCTCTCCGCGATGCTAAAAACTTATTCCAT